AATATATAATAAATGTATATATATATATATATTGAAGTGAATACTCATAGCGTGCATCTCTACATAAGATTTTTTAAAGTAGCGATGATTTCCCTTCGAGGTCATAGAAAAACAATTCCGTACATGGTTTCATCACCATTGCTTATTAAAACGATTAGGCTCATGTGTATTCATTACACATTGCTGGCTGTTCAAGGTGAGCAGACAATGTGGAGCTATTGTAGATTGTGTTAACGCGAATATTCTCGTGTTAAGTTTCGTCTCTGCTGTTCTTTTAAAAATTTACCAATAGGAAGCGGCAATTTTAACGCGCCCTTGGCGGTTTATCATGCGGCAGCTTACCAGCAAGAGATCGAGGTGGATGACGACAAACCAACTGAACTCCAAGCCCTGAAAGCCTTAGGTATGTGGCTCGATTAGATTTTTAGTGTTCAGCCGAAACCCTGGCCCTTAACCCTAAACCCTAAACCTAAATCCTTGGCTTTGTTACTACTGCGAGGTACGTTCCGTTGTTTCTCTACCTAAAACATCGATTTAAATACTTTGATGTGTGTCGTCCTTGCTATGTTCATAGGGTTATGCAATATATTCTATTGTGGTTCTAATTAGTAATAGTGCAGGCAATCACGCAGCCGATAAACTATGTACTCTTGGTTGATCTAGTACCTGTGCTAATGATGTGGTATGTTGTAGGTAGCTGTTCAAAAGACCTAAAGTCCAAGGGATCGATGGGCCATACTTTTTCAGAAGTGCGTCTGTGCTTCCGTCGTGTACGATTGTTAAACGAAGGATTAGTCATAGGAAGCAAAACGTACTACAGTATCACCCGTTTCGAGTTTTGCTGTTGAAATCTATTTATATCTTCCAATCAAGCGAGCCTTCACACAACGGGACAGCCAAATGGCCCATAGCCGTGTGCGTATAGTATAACCATGCACACACGTACACTATCCTGTGACATGCCTCAAATCTTGCTGATAAAATCCATTTATATCCACCAATCAGACGATCCCTCTCAAGGGATAGCTATTTGACCGTAGTCGATCTGCGTCTCGTACAGCCATCCATATACCCTTCCGTGTCCGAACGCACTAACCCCCCCACCCCCCAGCTCTTACTGATAAAATCTATTTATATCCACCAATCAGACGATCCCGCGCCCAAGGAGACGGCCAAATGGCCCATCGCCGATCTGCGGATCGTACAGCCGTACGTGTACCTGGCTGTGCCCCGGAAGTACACTGAGAACAGCGCAGTGTATGTGATTGAGCCGAAGCACTTCAACTCATCCAAGGATTGGGACCCGGAGATGATGGAGCGCAACCGCATCATGCTGAGACGTTGGGCGAGCAACCAGCGCATACTGACTCTGCGGGAAATGGGCGATGACGATGTATGTGGTCTGTGGTTGAGTGTATGAATGTGTGGGAGGATGTGTATGTGTATGCGTATGTGTATGTGCATGTGTATATGCATGTGCATGTGCATGTGTATGTGTATGTGTATGTGTATGTAGAGGTGTCTGTGTATATGTGTTTGCCTACGTTTGATAATAGCGCGTGCAACCGCATTCAGACACCTGGGCTGTACTAGTTGTTTCCTCACCCTACTGTTACACATGTTGATATTTTTTCCTTGTGGCGGATACGTATTCACGAATGATGTGCAAATTTCCTGCCCTTATTTTAGACGCGTTTTAACATATATACGACGTATTAACGGATATGTATGTCGTTGTGTGCGTGGCTGTTGTTGTTATTGTGCATATAGTATGATACATGAAGTACATATAGCATGGGTCTAGTACATATATTCTAAAGTGTACTTGTAGTATGACTATAGTACATAAATTATAAAGTGTACATATAGTATGACCATAGTACATATATTTTAAAAGTGTACATATAGCATGACCATAGTACGTATAATATAAAGTGTACATATAGTATGATACACAAGCTCTCACCCCGCAGCAAAGGAGGACTATGTAAATTGGGCCCTATGAATACATTCACGTATACACACATACCAGAGACGTACGTTAAGCTCCTACTATTCTCTGTGCGTAAACCATCGTTTTACAGCAATTTAAAAACTTGTATATGGGACTGCTGGAAGAGGAACGCGCCCAAATACCTGAGCAGATTGTAGAGCAATATATCGACGACTATGCCTCTGGTGAAGAGACTGATGGTATTGACGAGGGCGAATACGTAAGTTAATATATGTACGCGTACATGTACATGTATTTGTGTTTGTTTTTGTATTTGCATATGGTGTATATGTATATGTAAACAACATGACGATATTTCTTTTTACCGTATTGCGCACGCATACACACACACACACACACACACACACGTATATATATATATATATATATATATATATATGTGTGTGTGTGTATCCTTTTTTGCACCAGTATTTTTTTTATCATAATGCAAAGCCGGTATTACTCGAGAACTTTGTTGAGCAAATCTCAAACGAGTGTTTGTCAGAAGAAGTGACCGGACGGCAAATTTGTGTCATGTTTACTGAAATATTGGCCATATGACTCGTTTATTGAATTGTTCATCTGTGTTTCCATGGGTCTATGTGTTTTCCTTCAGATATATATATACATACATATATATATATATATATATATATATATATATATATATATATATAATTGTATAGTTTTCTGGAGTACCTATCTACCTCGAGGGGTGTTCTCCAGGTGCAGAGACAGATGTCTCGCGAAGACGTTATTGTATCTCTACTAAACATATATGTATACACATATCCTATTGTTTTTTTATATCTGTAACTGTTTGTTCGTGTCATATAACCCGTTTTGAAGAAGCGATTAAATTTCGCAAATGTCAACAGAGGAAATTAGTGCGACACTTATTTCAACCTATATACTTTTAAGTCCTGGTCATCTCCAACATGGCCCGTGGGGTTTATCCTTGCGTGTCAACTTGGTTTTTTCCCATTCGGAAAACTCTCAGTCTCAGAGTTTTTGAAACCTGACTGGGTGCCATGTTCGAAATATTCGAAGCAAGGGGGGGAGGAGGGTTGGTAGTAAGCTTGGGTTTTTAGCTTGAGTTTAAGTCCAGAAACGATACATGCACGATACGATAGCCAAGTATGCGACCAGAGAAAACACGAACTTGTTTTGAACTAACCAGGAAATAAACCTGGTTTCCCCCCATTCAGACCCCTTTTTATCCCAGAGAAATCGAGGCCCTGGAAAAGGCCATGGCTCAAGAATTAGATACTACGGGCGATATCAAAATGGAAATCAAGACTACAGAGAGCGATGAAGAAGTACCCAACAAGGAGAGCATGGACAAGGACGACAGGCTGAAGGACCGCAGTGTCTACTTGCACGAGCAAGGTACGTGCATATGAATCAGTATAATATATATATATATATATAAATATATATATGCATATATGTATATATGTATATATGTATATATATATATATATATATATACATATATATATATATTTCAATGTACACATCATAAATTACTTATTTATAAACATATTGTTGTGTACATTATGATCGCTGAGTGATATTGAACCCTCCTAAAATGAGAATGTGCAGAAGGAGAGCAAGCAAGGAGACCGTACACTGTTTACTTGCACGAGCAGAGTACTTGTCTCCCCTGCATCCATCTCCCACACACGGTGTACTTGTACATACGTATATTCATACACGTATTGCCCCTGTCTCCCCCACACAGACACTGGCCTCGCCGACTTTGACGACAAGCGGTACCGTCTGTTGCATATTTGGGACGTAGACGACCAGTTACGCCGTGAGCATACCACACGCGTGTACCTACCCGACTCTGAAGCGGAGCAAGAAGCTGAAGAGGAGGAGGCTGAGCGACAGGAGTATCTGCGTGGTGAGAAGTGGGTCAGACGACGCAACAGGCGCATTGATGCGGGACTGGATCCGAGGTATATGGGTTGTGTTGTTTATGTAGGTGTGTGGGGGGGGTGGTATATTTGGGTGTCTGTATCTGTATCTTTTCTATGTCTATTATATATATATATATATATATTAAAATATATTAAAATAATATATATATATATACACACATATATATATATATACACACACACACACATATATATATATATACATACATACATATATATATATATATATATATATATATATATATATATATATATATATGCGCGCGCGTGTGTGTGTGCGTGTTAAGGTCCAGGGTTCTATTATTAATATTATTTATAAATATTTTCCATTATCGCCATTATATTACTATTTCTATTTTCATCATTATTATTGTGCACATCCTTTCGTATGCACATCTGAATATATATTATAATTCACATTCTTCGTCATACGCCCATATACCTACCTCCACAGTTCTTCCAGTGACGGACTAACTTCGGAAGAGAGTGCGTCGGAGTCAGAGGAAGAGCTTGAGTACATGAATCCAGAACGTCCCGAGATGATGCCCCAGCCACAGTATATGCCTGTTGGTATCGAGTATCTGGGTGTAGAGCAGAACATGGTTGAGTAAGTATATATGAGATGTATCATCGTATGTATATATATATATATATATATATATATATATGTATATATATATATATATAGATATATATATTTGTGTGTGCGTGCGTGCGTGTTTGTTTCAGTATGAATAGATACGAATACATACGTATATGCGTATAGGTCTCCGCATCGAGTACTTGGAGGTAGAGAAGAATATGGATATGAAAATATAAATATAGTGCATTATCCTGCTTAAATATATATATATAAGTGTGTGTGTGTGTGTTTATTGTTTCTGTGTATCAAGGTACGAATAAACATGTTTGCTCATAGATCTATGGCACAGTACATATCTGTTGTCATCGGGTGCTTGGGTGTAGAGACCAACATGGTTGCCAGACGGTTACTGCTACCTGTATACAAACGGACACTGGAATGAGTTATTAATATTATTTTTCTGTATATATATACATATATATATATATATATTTATATATATATTCATACACACACACACACACACACACACACACATATATATATATATATATATTATATATATATATATTTACATACATTTATATATATATATATATATATATACATATATATATATATATATATATATATATATATATATATGTACATGTAC